TTGGCGAAAATTTTTAGAGTAAAGATAGCTAGATACTAGCTTTTTTAATAAGAAATACATTTTTTTGTTTTTTTCTTAAATAAAAAGACATGTTTTATTTTTCACCATTTTAATCTTCTACTTTTCATTTTTAATTATATCGAATAAAATTATATAATTTAATACTATATTTAATCAATTTTTTTAAAAATTATGATGTTTTGAATTATTTATGTTGTATTAGGGTTTAGTTTTGAGGGTTTATGATTTTTTAGGAGTCAAAACATTTTTTAGGATTTATAATTTTAAGATTTAGGTTTTAAAAATTCATAATTAGTGGTATTTTTGCAAATGAACAATCCATTAAAATGCCACACCAAAAGAGATATTTTTGCAATTGTCCATAGTTTTAAGTATCCACGTTTACGTCTAGTGCGTGCCTAGCCTTCCAAGGACCCAAGGCAATATTTAAAAATAGATTTTTTATTTAAATATAATGTTTATCATATAAAATATGAAGTTTTTCTTTTAAAAATATATTCAATATTGCGGAAAGTTTTGATGTGACTAACATATATATTTCATATTTTTTTATATGAAAACAAAATAGTTTATTGATATTGTGTGCATAAATTCTTTAATTTTTTTTAATTAGAATATATTAATTATACCTATAAAGTTAGACATTTATATAACAATGCAAAAATGATATCAAATGGGTTAAGAAAAAAATATAAACAGAAAACTTAATTGATATATACAACTTAATTGCATTTATATAACAATGCAAAAATGATATCAAATGGGTTATCTGAAATTATGATGGAACCCATTAACCCAAATCAATTTGTAGGATTTTATTTGTAAACCTCAAAACTAAACTAATTAGCATATATACAATTTTTATCAATTAAACTAACTATATAAAATTTAGAGCCCTAAAACCATGGATTTGAAGAGGGGGTCCTACGCGGTTGCCTTATTTTTACTAAGGTAGTCACGACTAGGCATGTCAATTAGGGTCAAAGTCCGAAGTCGAGCCTGGCCCAACCCTTAAAAATACCGGGCTCGGGACTGAATATATAAGCCCAAAAAAATAGGGCCTTTCGGGCTAAACCCATTCGGGTTATTGAGTTTTTGGGTTTTAGCCCTGTTGGGCTCGGGCCGGTCCGGAAAGCCCGAAAATAAACATATAATTTATAAATTTAGTAATAAATTTTGTTTAAAGAAACTTTTTAAAGATAAATTGGTAAAATAATTTATATATATGTACTTCGTTGACCAAAAACTCTTATTCTACTTCTTGGACTTTTGGTATTTTGCTTATGTTTTATTTGACAGTACTATTTATTTATAGTTATTTGAATTCATTTGACGTTTGCATTCATTTGGTCACACTTTTTCTTTTAGTTAAATTAGATTTCGATAAAAACATATTGGTAG